CTGCGAGCCCGGGTGCCAGTGCCGCGCGCCTATGGTCAGCGTGTCCAGCGAGCGCCACCCGCTTTACAACCGCGTCAGGACCGGCCAGATCGCCAACTGTGCGCTGCCTTGCCACAACCCCTTCTTCAGCCAGGATGAGCGCGCCTTCACCGTCTTCTGGATTGGCCTGTGGTCGGTGCTCTGCTTCGTGTCCACCTTCGCCACCGTGTCCACCTTCCTCATCGATATGGAGCGCTTCAAGTACCCCGAACGGCCCATCATCTTCCTCTCGGCCTGCTACCTCTTCGTGTCGGTCGGCTACCTGGTACGCCTGGTGGCGGGACACGAGAAGGTGGCCTGCAGCGGCGGGGGCGCGGGGGCATTGGCCTGTGGTCGGTGCTCTGCTTCGTGTCCACCTTCGCCACCGTGTCCACCTTCCTCATCGATATGGAGCGCTTCAAGTACCCCGAACGGCCCATCATCTTCCTCTCGGCCTGCTACCTCTTCGTGTCGGTCGGCTACCTGGTACGCCTGGTGGCGGGACACGAGAAGGTGGCCTGCAGCGGCGGGGGCGCGGGGGCGCGACCACGGGCCCCGCGCTGTGCACCGTCGTCTTCCTGCTCGTTTACTTTTTCGGCATGGCCAGCTCCATCTGGTGGGTGATCCTGTCGCTCACCTGGTTCCTGGCGGCCGGCATGAAGTGGGGCAACGAGGCCATCGCCGGCTACTCGCAGTACTTCCACCTGGCCGCCTGGCTGGTGCCCAGCGTCAAGTCCATCGCCGTGCTGGCGCTCAGCTCGGTAGACGGCGACCCGGTGGCCGGCATCTGCTACGTGGGCAACCAGAGCCTGGACAACCTGCGGGGCTTCGTGCTGGCGCCACTGGTCATCTACCTCTTCATCGGCACCATGTTCCTGCTGGCCGGCTTCGTGTCGCTCTTCCGCATCCGCTCCGTCATCAAGCAGCAGGGCGGCCCCACCAAGACGCACAAGCTGGAGAAGCTCATGATCCGCCTGGGGCTCTTCACCGTGCTCTACA